GCCCCACTGTAAGAACAAACCTCATTGTTCTTTCAAAAGCTCAAACGTGCTGCGTAAACGAGAAATAAATTTCATCGACCAGGCAGAACAGACAGTCCATTGGGCGGCCAGGGCAGAGACTTCTCCTTGGGTGGCCTGAGCGGAACCTGCCATTCAGGAGAACAGTGCGGAACCGGAACCGACACCCGCTCAGGAACAGAAACCCAAAGACCACCAAAGTCGTGTCCTACCGGACCACCGGACTTGAGATCCACGAACCAGACTCAAACATGCTACGTAACGCGAGTATGAACCTCGTTGGTTTTCACAAGTCAAGTGAACATGCTTGAGCTTCCCTTTATCATATCTGATATGTTTGTATGTTGTTTATATGTGAATAAAAGGCTAAATTCTGTCTGAATGATATAAAGCAAACGAGCCTCTTGAGAAAATTTGGATTAAAACGTTCAATTAGTTTTATCTCTTGATTTTTTTAAAGCATTAAAGTTGTAGTTACATGGACTGTAAAGGGACTGACAGAAATCTCTCAGATTTCATTTAAAATATCGGTACTTTCCTGTTATCCGGACCCCACGATGGTTTACCCCTAAATACGCCCTAAACCTACCCGTCACTGGGGTTAAGACCAATCAGGGATGACTAATTGTGTATGAAGATGATCGAAAGTCTTACGGGTCTGGAACGACATTTGGGTGAGTAATTAATGACAGAATTTAAATTTTTGGGTGAACAAATCATTTAATGTTGAGACGCTCACATGTCAGTATATCCAATAACTAATGAATACATAATAAATCCAAGAATAAATCTTTAACTAGAAAATAATATAACATTTATTAAAGAAATATAGCCTATAAATAAATACATTACGTTTAAATACATAAAATACAACTTAATAGAGAAAATCATATTCAGAAATGGCTTCGTGTAAGTGTTTTCTTTAGATTTTGAACTACATATTTTTTCCGCCTGTTTTGTTCAATAAAAGTATTAATGAGGTGAAAAGACTGTATGTGACTGTAGTATCTTCATTGCGCCTTTTCGCAGAAATAAATCTCTATTTTGCATCCGCCGCTCGCGTGTCTTTTACTTTGGTGAGCGTTTCCTACCGGAAACACGTCACGCCCCGAATGAGCAGCAGGACCCCGAGAAGCAGCAATGGTGGATTGTGTTTTTCTCCATGGTAATGTAACTGCAGAGAGCTTTGATAGCGAGATGAGCTCCGCGGGGATGTTCCAGACGCAGATCTCCGCGATCATGAAGGCGGCCGCGGTGGAGATCAGTCAGTTGCTGGAGGAAGAGGCTGCAGCTCTTCATCAGGAGATCCGGAGGAGGAACCAGGAGATCCAGGGACTGAAGACTGAACTACTGAGAGTCACTGCAGAGAGATGCTCTGTCGGCGTACAGGTGGAGCTCATGGACACGAGTGAGTCTGAGCTGCTGACTTATATCAAAAAACATCATACTGTGAGTGTGTGTGTGTGAGAGAGAGAGAGAGAGAGAGAGAGTATGTGTTTGGTGGGGTCTATCTATATATATATATATATATATATATTAGTATCACATTTAAAAAAAAACTGGTGATGTTTATTATTTATGAATTATATATTTATATTATTTATATTTTTTCGTTATCCTGTTTAGGCCATTGCACACCAAGTCCGAAATTTGCATCCGAAATTTTCGCACGTTAAAAAAAAAAAATCGACCTCACGTTATGTCAAACACGCTTTTTTTTTATTGAAATAATTATACATTACAGTAAATAAAAAAATACAACATAAATTAAAATATCAATACAATAAAAAACAAACAAAGAAACCGGTATGAGATCATGAAGTAAATAACCAGCTTCACATAAAGACCTCGTACGTTTTGCTTTACTATTTTTTAACCCAAGAAGTAACTCACAATAATTTTTCATTTCTATCTGAAATAAAAAAAAAATTGGTTTCCCTTTAGCCCATTTTTGCTTGTGTATATGATATTTCCCCATAATCAAACAGAGGTTAACAACAAAGGCCACATTTGGAGATAAACTTTGTCTATTAAAATAAAAAAAGACATCTTTTTCAGAAAAGAAAAATTTAATTCCTAACCATTTACAAAGAAAACATTCCATATCCACCCAAAACATTTTGCTATAAATGCAATTAAAAAATAAGTGGACAACATTTTCTTTCTCCATCCCACAGAAATCACATTTAACATCTACATCAGTGCGAAACCTTAGAAAAAGAGTTTTTACTGGGTACACCAGATGAAGTATTTTAAAATGCACTTCTCTTACCTTATTTGTTATGCAATATTTTTTTGGCAGCAACCATGCATATTTCCAGTCAATGCAATCAACCTTAGAATACCAGTATGTTTTAGAAGATATCGGGCTGTATTCAGTTAGTAACTTACTAATAAAGTAATTGTTCCATCTTCTATCAGTAATAGTAACTCCATTAATTACAACATCAGGTCTGAGATTCACAATCTCGTTATTCACATTTCCTTTAAACAGACACTTTAAACCAGATGGTATAGCATCAAACACTATACAATATTCTTTTGGTATTATTGGAATATTGTATCTTTGAAGAAACTCGGCATAGGTATACAGGTGCCCATTTTCATTGAATAACTGTTTGACAAAAATGATGCCATTATCAACCCATTTTTGAAAAAAAAAAAGTTTTATGCTTAAAAGTTATATACCTGTTATTCCAAATAATACATTTGTTTGGAGAAAAATGAAGTTTATAGATAAGCAGCCATGAGAGAAGCACCTGCCTGTGAAAATTACTTAATCTAACGGGATTCTTACTGATTTCGAAGTTGCATTTCAACAGAAAAGCAAGCCCACCCATCTTTTCAAAAATTAGATTAGGGATTAAATACCAAATTTTATTTTTATATTGAAAGTAATGCTTGATCCATCTATTTTTTAAAATTGAATTTGAGGTGCTGAAGTCAAGCACATTCAAACCTCCATCACCAAATGAATTAGTTAAAGTATCTTTTTTTAAGTAGTGGGATCTATTTCTCTAGATGAAATTGAAAAGATTTGTATGATGTTATTCGGGACTTCTAGTGAAATAGCAGGATAGAGTAGACGAGATAAACATTCAGTTTTTGATAAAAGAATTCTACCATTTAATGACAAATCTCTCATTAACCAAAAATTAAATCTATTTTTAACTGTGTTATGTCAAACACGCTTGCACACCGCCTCCGAAACTTTCGTGCGTCATAAAAAAATTCGGATCGGGTTCGATTTTTTTTTTTTTTTTTTTTTTTTTTTTTTTTTTTTTGCGTTTTTCACATCCACAGCCAGCATTTTGAGAGGTTTTTTTGACAATTCATTGCTGACTGGAGCTTGTTCTGCACATCATTGCACATATGCAGAGTGCTTTCAGTTTCAGTATTCAATTCGATCAAGTGTAAATGTTCTCTTCTCTCGATTGGATTGTGAAAGGAATAATCTCCCCTTTCAATCAGATTGAAATTTCGGATCGATTAAAATGTGTGATTGAGCAGCCAATTCGATAACTAATGTATTATTTGGGTACAATATAACAGCCTATCCTACTGCGCGCACGTATGTGTGTGTCTCCATACCTTCGACATGCTGCCAGTCTCTGATCAGAATCGATTGGTTCACGGAAATTGGTGGTCTTGTTTCTTAAATGCGGATCCAGCATCAAACTTTTCCACTGACATTCTGAAGTCAATTTTTTAATCGCAACTCCTTGATAAGGAGGTGCTTCCTCTCGGCGCAATTTCACGATTGGATGGACGCAAACGCAATATTTTCTATTTCTCTTTTCAATAAGAGAGAGGGCAACAAAATCATCCTCACTGCTTGACGAATTCATTTTGTATTTAATTTGGTTTAATAAATACGCATCGGACTCGGTGTGCAAGGTTTCTGTGCGTAACGAATTTATAGGCTGACGAACACGGAAAAAACGCGTACCAAAATTTCGTACGCAGTGTGCAACCACACTCGTTCCCCTGCTGCAGACTTCACATTCCCACGCCCCCCTCGCCACAACTTCCTTCTGATATATCCGTTCTCTGTTTGCGAACAATAAACTTCACTAGTTTTCAAAAAAATATTTCAGTTCTAATAATTATCAAACTATTTTTCCATCTAGTAAATTGGTTTATTAGCCTAATTATTGTAGCTGCTTAATGTATTAGCATGAAATTCAACTAAAACTGACATTCATACAGATTTTAGACTAGGAACAGTTTGTTTGTAGAATTTGAATTAAAACGTCATATTGACACGTGACTTCTCGACAGGTGTAACCGCTCATTCGCGGGAAGCTCAGACTGATCATCGCAGCCAGGAAAAGGTCGTTGTGAAGAATCTCTCAGAGGAGAAACCTCACTTTACACATGCGGCGGATGTGAATGCACAACTTTTGAAACAAGAAGAGTCTGTACCGCCGCTGAAGGAACCGGAGGAAGAGGAGCTCAGCGGACTGGAGTTTGAGATGAAGATCGAACAGGTGGAAGAACTTGTGGATCAGACACTGGGTCAAGTTCAGGAAAAGCAGAAGTGTAAAGGACAAAACCACTGCCATGACGGAAACTCTCGTTTATGGTGTTCCAGGAAAGTGTTTGACCATCCGGAAAATCTTGTGGAGTCGGAACAACATTCCCAGAGTTTTACAGATCCATATGGGATGGAGGATCCCACGACCACGTCAACTCAGTCCGGTTTAATGGCTGTTCTGCAGAACGAGAGCTTTGGCGTTGCAGACATTGAGTATGACTTGAATCTTCAGGATTCCCATAGACACTCTCCCACAACGAGCTCTTCTGACTCGACGCCGTTCAACACACTCCCATCCTCACATTCAAGCTCGTGTTTGCCCAAAACACTCCCACAGAGTCTGAATGCCGGCAAGCACACAGAACCCAAACCCTTCCGATGTGACGAGTGCGGGAAAGGCTTCCCCCAGAGGGGGCGGCTCGTACAACACAAACTAGTGCACTCGAAAGAAAAACCCTTCAGGTGCGAGGAGTGCGGGATACGCTTCACACAGAAGAATCGGCTTTTAACACACAAAAAACAAGTGCACACAAACGAAAGACCCTTTAGATGTGACGAGTGCGGGAAAGGCTTCCCACAGAGGGCTCGGCTGTTGACACACAAAAAACGAGTGCACACAAACGAAAGACCCTTCCGATGCGAGGAGTGCGGGAAAGGGTTCGTACTCAGGGGGCGGCTGTTAACACACAAACTAGTGCACTCGAAAGAAAAACCCTTCAGATGTGAGGAGTGCGGGAGAAGCTTCACAGAAAGGAAGCGGCTGTTAACACACAAACTAGTGCACACGGGCGAGAAACCCTTCTGCTGTCAGGTGTGCGGCAATACCTTCTCCAGACAGGACAGCTGTCTCAGACACATGCGCTTGCACAGAAGACCGAGATGATGAATGGGGACACAACCACTCAAAGTGAGATTTCTTAGAACTGTAATTTTGTTGATATTAGCTTCTGTTGCATAACGTCATTAAGGCCTTGTGGCGATCAGGACGAGGCCGAGGGCCGTGAGAGAATGGTACCGAAACACGGTGCCAATAGGGAACAGGTTCCAACGTAAACGGTAGTAACCAGACCGAATAAGAATGGAAATTTCGGTGCCTGATTTCGGTGCCTGAGTCTCCCTTTTCCACCAAGGCAGAGCTGGTGCTGGTTCGGAGCCTAGTTTCAAATTGGTTCTTTGTTTTTCGACCACCAAAGCACCAGCTCCGAACCAGTAAAAGTGGTTCTTAAAGGAGAACTCTGGTGCAAAATGAACCTTTGGTCTAATATAACATCGGTACCTAGTCAACCGTTCTCTGAGATTTGTTTTCATGATAATCGAATGTAAACAGTTTTATCTCTAAAAACTGTACTGGGGGCATTTACTAAGTTAAAAAAAATCGCTAGCAAACAGTAGGCGTAAAGGAGCGCTTCCTGGATTTCAAAGTTTGGTTAAAATAGAGGTACTCTTTGGATGGGAAACTGAATATGACGAAAAAGCAAGAGGCACTCTCAAGTAGAAAAGTTAAAAAGCCTTTATTACTATGGCTTGGTCAAATCAACCATCTAAAAAACTCAACTCAACGCGTTTCGGCTACATGCCTTCTTCTGGGAGTTAGAAATCGCTAGTTTATTCCACTAACAAGGCTCAAAATAGCCCCACACTAACGCAGTAACATAATGAGGGTCCCTGCATGCAAAACGAAGCATTGAGAACTGTGTAAGTGTACAGACTGATACTTTATAAAGACAGGTCACGTCGTGTATACAGACATCTTAGAGAATAGTCTGGATAAGTTGATCCCCGAACCGGTTACCGTGACCAACAAGACAAATAGAAACTTGTGACAGCCATTTTTTAAATAGCAGCTAATCGTGCCAATAGCAGCTCGATTGTAATCTCCGTTAACGCAAGTTTTGGCAGGCTGGATTCGCTGTGTGATTCGGAAAGCCATGAGCATAAATAGTAACGCAACAACCGCCATTGTTAATGGAAGGCTTGTTCGCAATGCATCGGAGCTGCGTGGAATGATCGGAGCGGCGGGAGTGTTTGGAGAGTTTACGACTCCTGCTTTTGAATCGAATCTTTTTCGAATGTTTTTTTCGAATCGCTCTCGTAGTTCGAGATACACAGTGCCGAACCATCTCGAACAAGCCTGGTGTGTTTGTATACAGTGACGTAAGATCTGGCTCTGTGATGGCTCTCTAGCCTGTGGAAAGGCAAACCGGTTCGTTAACAGCTCGTCAGTCGAACCAACTCCGAACCAGCACTAGCTCTGAACCAGCACCTGGTTCTTGTTGGTGGAAAAGGAGTATCTGTGTCATGAGGCGCACACGCGCAAAGCCGTACGCACACTATACGGTTTGGGAACGAAATTCCAAACGAAATACCAAACTCGCGCCAGGCTAAGCGCTGCATAACTAGTATGACCAGATAACTTGCATGACTGGTTCAAACAGACAAAACATGGCAACCAGTAGCCATGTCGATATTATGTAAATGTGAATTTTTAATATTTTTATTGATTTATTTATTATTACCATATGTTACTTGTATTGATATTGTTTAAAGATTTGAGTTAATATTGTGTCCAGTTTGGAAATAAAGGGGTATTATAAAGGGGTAAATAAAGGGGTATTATTTTTTGATAAAGTGAGTGCGGTTTCGTTTTCAGTACCATTTCAAGAGCTAAAAAGTACCGAGTAGGTACTGCTATCGGATAAAACCCAACCGATACCCAACCCTACTGATGAGTGTCACCTGTGCGACGCGTCGGTCTCGTATCTCTCAGGGAGGAGCAGAAGCATAAAAGGAGGAGCGACGACAGTGAAGGAAGAGAGAGGACAGGCCTGCATTTATGTTTCTGTTTCATCATGTGGGGCAGGCAGTGGTCCGTGAGGAGCTGCCATCTCCATCTTTTTTGTATTTGTTTATTTTATTATTAAAGTGTGTGTTAAACGTTCGCCGGTTCCCGCCTCCTCCTTCCCATAACAACAAACTGTGTTACAGGCCTGTTTTACACATCTTACACATTTATTATGCAACATCTCTCTTACCATGAAAATACTATTTCATGATGAACAAGTTTGTAACAATCCCGATTCCCCAGGGTTATTATAGTTAACTAAACCATAAAACAACTTTTGTTCCTTGAAATGAAAGAAGCTTTAATTTAAATAAAATATTTTTTAATAAAAAAAGTATTTCGGCTAGTGAACAAACCCATGTCCAATAAATAATGAATAAATAAGAAATGTTTAAACTACGGTACAACAGTATTTCAAATTGTATTTAAATAAATGTTTAAATAAAATAAAACTTAATATGGAGAAAATCGTATACAGAAATGGCTTCATAGTCTTTTCTTTAGATTTTTAACTACATATTTTTTCCGCCTGTCTTGTTCAATAAAAGTATTAATGGGGTGAAAAGACTGTATGTGACTGTAGTATCTTCATTGCGCCTTTTCGCAGAAATAAATCTCTATTTTGCATCTGCCGCTCGCGTGTCTTTTACTTTGGTGAGCGTTTCCTACCGGAAACACGTCACGCCCCGAATGAGAAGCAGCAATGGTGGATTGTGTTTTTCTCCATGGTAATGTAACTGCAGAGAGCTTTGATAGCGAGATGAGCTCCGCGGGGATGTTCCAGACGCAGATCTCCGCGATCATGAAGGCGGCCGCGGTGGAGATCAGTCAGTTGCTGGAGGAAGAGGCTGCAGCTCTTCATCAGGAGATCCGGAGGAGGAACCAGGAGATCCAGGGACTGAAGACTGAACTACTGAGAGTCACTGCAGAGAGATGCTCTGTCGGCGTACAGGTGGAGCTCATGGACACGAGTGAGTCTGAGCTGCTGACTTATATCAAAAAACATCATACTGTGTGTGTGTGTGTGTGTGTGAGAGAGAGAGAGAGAGAGAGAGAGAAAAGCAAGCGTGTGTGTTAGAGAGGGGGGGGGGTCTTTAAATATAATAAAAACAATTCAATGCTGATATATATATATATATATATATATATATATATACACACACATCATATTTCTATAATATTAGTTTTTACATAAATATAAAATCACCATTATATCATATATGGTGAATAGAATCGCCACAACAGCAATCATCTTCAAATACAGTAGTCAACATTTGAAGTGGATCAAAAAGGTTTATGAAAATCGTCCGGGGTATTGTTCAAAATTCAAGTATAACTTTGATGAAAGGTTTTTATCCACTTCAAATGTTGACTACTGTATATTACCATATTTATGTTTATGGTGTTTATGGTTTACCATATATATATATATATATATATATATATATATATATATATATATATATATATATATAGTGACCTTTTTTGTTAAAAAAAACTAATATTATAGAAATATAATAATAATACAATTTAATGAAATGTTTTTAATATAGAAAATATATTTTAAATATAATGAAATATTATTAAAAAATAATTAGTATAACATTTGCAATATGAAGATATTTTAAAATGATTAAAATTGAATTATTTTTTGAAAACTGGTAATATATTATTTATGCTAAAATATTTTTCAATAAAATATTGTTCTTAAAATGTTTAAAATTTTCTCTAATTATTTATTACAAATTTTATACTTATGTATTGTTGGAGCTGCTGTTACTTTCACTGTTCGTATTATTGATCGTATTTTGACTTCAATTTAATAGTACAGTAAATATTTAGAGCTCCTCCAGCAAAGCTCAACCAGTCAAGAGCAGTGAGTGATTTTCGCTGTCTTTCATCGTTACATTAACATTGAAGAAAAAGACAGCAGCAGCGATATTAGGCTGCTGTCACTTTAAGAGCTTCACGTATCCAAGGAGAGCAAGTCGCCTACATCCGACTATGCGTTCCTCCTGTGAACCACCTTGAACTTAAACGGCTGTAAAGCTAAAAACCAACTGGTGATCCACATGTTGGAGCCAATAGAGGGGCGAATGATTAGAATAGACATTCCCATCCCAGGAGGAAATAATGGAGGGTGAGGACGGCCAAACGCTCTTTTCCAATGATGCTGTATCTGCTCTCTCTGTTTAAGAGTACTTTCGACTCAGATTCAGCTCCTCCGACCTCCTGCGACAGGACTGCACCCCAGCCCCATATCCGACGCGTCTGTCTGCAACAGAAAATGGAGATCAAAGTTAGGAGAGTGTAAGAGCGGGCCGCCCGCCAGTGTGCCGGCCTTTTCTTTGGTTATGGCTTGTTGGCACAGATCTGTCCTCTGGACCGGTTCTGGTGCTTCCTTATTTAGTGAGATCAGTCAGCGGGTTGGTGAGCCGAATAATTAGGAATAAATATCTACTATAATATCTACCAGCCCCAGTAACTGTCTCACCTCCTTTTTGGTCTTGGGACTTCAGCAATTTTATCAGTTATCATCTTATCAATTTGGGGACGCACCTGCCCATGTCCCAAGTGAAAGCCCATATACTGTGCTCCACACCTCGCCCAAATGCCCACTTTCGCTGTGAGTCCAGCTATCTGAGGACAGGGCGCTGATGTTCCAGATGCCAATCATGACTTTATATGATAATGTTGTCAAGGAAGGCAGTGGCATCCGCGGAATGAGGCGGGAGGATTTTTGTCCATGAGATGGTGAAAGGTGGCGGGAGCCCCAAACAACCTAACGGAAGAGTAATAAATTGATGTAATCCGAATGGTGTTGTGAAGGCTATATTTCTTTGGGTAATGGCGATAAGGGGATCTGCCAGTACCCTTTTGTCAAATCCAGTGCCTAACCTAACTGATCAATCAGCTCATCAACTTGGGCCGCCCCTCCCATGGGCGGCAGTGGCTCAGTGGTTCATGTAGGTCGTCTATGAACCAAAAGGTTGGTGGTTCAATCCCCGGTTCCACCTGACCAAGTGTCGTGGTGTCCATGAGCAAGACACCTAAACCCAGCTGCTCCCGACGAGCTGGATGGTGTCTTGTATGGCTGACACCGCCGTCGGTGTGTGAATGGGTGTATGAATGGGTGAATGTGAGGCAAATTGTAAAGCGCTTTGGTGGCCATTGGGTCTATAAATGCAGTCCATTTACCATTTGGGGCATTGGATAAATGTTGAAGTTTGACACCGCATTCCCCCTTCTATTGTACCAAAGCTATCGGGCTTGCCCAGTCGCTATGCGATTCTTATATTACTCTAAGCTCTAGCGTGGTCTTTATTTCGTCCTTTACCACTTTTTTCTTGTGTTCAGGTAAAGGATAGGGATGGCTGTGTGCCACTTTCCCCGGGCATTGTTTTGACATGGTGCTGTATGAGGTCTGTGTGACCGGGCAGGGGTAAAAACATCGGCAAAATCTGCTTGCAACTTTGCTAAATCAGAGATCTGCAGCGGCGAGAATTGATCTCCCCGGATCTCCCCAGAGTGAGCGGATTGGGTTTGACAGCTGCTGCTGGTCCGAGGTCTTCCTCTGTTGGAACGGCTGTTGTTAATATGAATCACCCGTCTGTTGGTCTTACCTCATGATCGAGATCCCCAACACAGAAGTTCCTTGCCTTAGGACTTAGATCTAGATGCCGTAGCGTTCCTTTGTTGTACAGCCGACTTTGTCTGTCTTGTGCTGTCCTGTCCTGAGAGTGTGGAGTTTTGGTCTGAGCTCCATGACATACTGAATTTCACTACGGCTGTTTGAAGGCCCCTCTTCCCAAGCCTCTTTAAAGCCAAGCACACCAAGCCATCAGGTAGTGTAGGGCTGTTTTTAAGCATTGGCCGACTTGTGTTCTGAACCGTTGACTCTAGTCAGATGTTGTTGTCCAAAAGGTCGGCTGCTGTCCCCCAGCTACACTGAGCGGAAGCGCTGACAATGCTGTTCAGGGGAGCGACCGACCCGTTGATGGATGACTCGCTTTAGATCGTCATAGGCCAGGAGGTTCGCTACAGGTACCTGATGCTCTGCCTCCTGTGCCTCTCCGGACAGCAGTGGGACCAGGCGTACCGGCCCTCCTTATCCCGCTCGTCTTCACACTCGTTCCCCTGCTGCAGGACTTCACATTCCCACGCCCCCCTCGCCACAACGTCCTTCTGATATATCCGTTCTGTTCTCTGTTTGCGAAAAATAAACATCACCAGTTTTCAAAAATATTTTGAGTTATAATGAAGCTATTTTTGCTCCAAGTAATATGTTTCATTAGCCTAATGATTGTTGCAGCTTGGTGTATTAATGGGAAATTAAACTAATACTTAAAACTAGACTTGGAACTGTTTGTTTTGTTTTAGAATTTGAATTATAACGTCTTATTGACACGTGACTTCTCGACAGGTGTAACCGCTCATTCGCGGGAAGCTCAGACTGATCATCGCAGCCAGGAAAAGATCGTTGTGAAGAATCTCTCAGAGGAGAAACCTCACTTTACACATGCGGCGGATGTGAATGCACAACTTTTGAAACAAGAAGAGTCTGTACCGCCGCTGAAGGAACCGGAGGAAGAGGAGCTCAGCGGACTGGAGTTTGAGATGAAGATCGAACAGGTGGAAGAACTTGTGGATCAGACACTGGGTCAAGTTCAGGAAAAGCAGAAGTGTAAAGGACAAAACCACTGCCATGACGGAAACTCTCGTTTATGGTGTTCCGGGAAAGTGTTTGACCATCCGGAAAATCTTGTGGACTCGGAACAACATTCCCAGAGTTTTACAGATCCATATGGGATGGAGGATCCGACGACCACGTCAACTCAGTCCGGTTTATTGGCTGTTCTGCAGAACGATAGCTTTGGTTTTGTAGACATTGAGTATGACTTGAATCTTCAGGATTCCCATAGACACTCGCTCACAACGAGCTCATCTGACTCGACGCAGTTCAACACACTCCCATCCTCACATTCAAGCTCGTGTTTGCCCAAAACGCTCCCACAGAGTCTGAATCCCGGCAAGCACACAGAACCCAAACCCTTCCGATGTGACGAGTGCGGGAAACACTTTCCACAGAGGACTCGGCTGTTAACACACAAACTAGTGCACTCGAAAGTAAAACCCTTCAGATGTGAGGAGTGCGGGAAAGGCTTCACACAGAAGAAGCGGCTGTTAACACACGGACTAGTGCACACGGGCGAGAAACCCTTCTGCTGTCAGGTGTGCGGTAAAACCTTCTCCAGACAGGACAGCTGTCTCAGACACATGCGCTTGCACAGCAGACAGAGATGATGAATGGGGACACAACCACACAAAGTGAGATTTCTTAGAACTGTAACTTTGTTGATATTAGCTTCTGTTGCATAACGTCATTAACGCCTTATGGCGATCAGGACGAGTGCTGTGAGAGAATGGTGCGAGGCCAGTGGCTTGATTGCTGATGAGTAGGGTTGGGTATCGAAACGCGGTGCCAATAGGGAACCGGTTCCAATGTAAACGGTAGTAACCAGACCGAATAAGAACAAAAGTCTTTGTGTCATGAGGCACACACACGCAAAGTTTCTCGCTCTCTCCTCTCCCTCTCTGCCATGTGCGCACTATACTCGGGAGATTTTAACTAATTCGGGAGATTTTAACTAATTCGGGAAATTTTAACTAATTCGGAGATTTTAACTAATTTACGGGCGTCAGGGAGCCGTTATCAATATGGTCTCCCGGGACGTCTGCTGATAGCGAGGGGATTATTGAAAATGCCGAAGACAAAACGCTCCAAGGTTTGTCTGCATTTCACGTGTAAAATTACGCATCAGAACGTCCTCTAGGTGTGCCGATTGTCTGAAGCCCATATAGATTCACGCCAATCCATTGGGTGATGGCGCGGGCGCCGCCTTGACGCTCTACGTCGTCATATTATATTAGCACGCGCATCATCTGCTCCTCAGATTTCTCTGCCGAAAAAGGAAGCTTGTCGGCAGCGCGAGGAGTTTTGGCAGCGAACACAGCATCTCGTTCCCTATAGAGAACATGGGTTACACCAGTAACCAGAGACGTTCTCTTTCACAGGTTTACTCAAAGCTGTGTAGCTAAGTGGGAACGAAATACCAAACTCGCGCCAGGCTAAGCGCTGCGTAACTAGTACGACCAGATAACTTGCATGACTGGTTCAAACAGACAAAACATGGCAACCAGTAGCCATGTCGATATTATGTAAATGTGAATTTTTAATTTTTTTTATTGGTTTATTTATTATTACCATATGTTACTTGTATTTATATTGTTTAAAGATTTAAGTTAATATTGTGTCCAGTTTGGGCCTGTAAATAAAGGGGTATTATTTTTTGATAAAGTGTGTGCGGTTTCGTTTTCAGTACCATTTCAAGAGCTAAAAAGTACAGAGTAGGTACTGCTATCGGATAAAACCCAACCGATACCCAACCCTACTGATGAGCGACGCGACGGCCTCGTATCTCTCAGGGAGGAGCAGAAGTATAAAAGGAGGAGCGATGACAGTGAAGGAAGAGAGAGGACAGGCCTGCATTTATGTTTCTGTTTCATCATGTGGGGCAGGCAGTTGTCCGTGAGGAGCTGCTATCTCCATCTTTTTTGTATTTGTTTATTTTATTATTAAAGTGTGTGTTAAACATTCGCCGGTTCCCGCCTCCTCCTTCCCATTTAAACAAACTGTGTTACAGGCCTGTTTTACACATCTTACACATTTATTATGCAACGTTTCTCTCCTGCCATGAAAATACTATTTCATGATGAACAAGTTTGTAACAATCCCCAGGGTTAATATAGTTAACTAAACAATAAAACAACTTTTGTTACTTGAACTGAAAGAAGCTTTAATTTAAATAAAATCTTTTTTAATAAAAAAAGTATTTCGGCTAGTGAACAAACCTCGCTCGACAGTATCATGTCCAATAACTAATGAATAAATAAGAAATGTTTAAACTACAGTACAACAGTATGTCAAATTGTATTTAAATAAATGTTTAAATAAAATAAAACTTAATATGGAGAAAATCATATACAGAAATGGCTTCATAGTCTTTTCTTCAGATTTTTAACTACATATTTTTTCCGCCTGTCTTGTTCAATACAAGTATTAATGGGTGAAAAGACTGTATGTGACTGTAGTATCTTCATTGCGCCTTTTCGCAGAAATAAATCTCTATTTTGCATCCGCCGCTCGCGTGTCTTTTACTTTGGTGAGCGTTTCCTACCGGAAACACGTCACGCCCCGAATGAGCAGCAGGACCCGAGAAGCAGCAATGGTGGATTGTGTTTTTCTCCATGGTAATGTAACTGCAGAGAGCTTTGATAGCGAGATGAGCTCCGCGGGGATGTTCCAGACGCAGATCTCCGCGATCATGAAGGCGGCCGCGGTGGAGATCAGTCAGTTGCTGGAGGAAGAGGCTGCAGCTCTTCATCAGGAGATCCGGAGGAGGAACCAGGAGATCCAGGGACTGAAGACTGAACTACTGAGAGTCACTGCAGAGAGATGCTCTGTCGGCGTACAGGTGGAGCTCATGGACACGAGTGAGTCTGAGCTGCTGACTTATATCAAAAAACATCATACTGTGAGTGTGTGTGTGTGAGAGAGAGAGAGAAACGTGTGTGTGTGTGTGTGTGTGGGGGGGGTGTCTTTATATATAAATATAATAAAAACAATTCAATGCTGATATATATATATATATTACATCATATTTCTATTACTTTTTACATAAATATAAAATCACCATTATATCATTTGGTGAATAGAATCGCCACAACAGCGATCATCTTCAAATACAGTAGTCAACATTTGAAGTGGATCAAAAAGGTTCATCAAAATTGTCCAAGAATGGGTATTGTTCAAATTTCATGTATAACTTTGATGAAAGGTTTTTATCCACTTCAAATGTTGACTACTGTATATTACCATATAATTATATTGACTTAAAATGAAATATAATGAAATATTAGTAAAAAAAAAAAAAGTAGTATAACATTTGTCATATGAATATATTTAAAAATTATTAAAATTGAATTATTTTTTGAAAACTGGTAAGTTATTATGTTAAAATATTTTTCAATAAAATATTGTTCTAAAAATGTTTAAAATTTTCTCTAACTATTTGTTCAGTTGTAGAATTTGAATTAAAACGTCTTATTGACACGTGACTTCTCGACAGGTGTAACCGCTCATTCGCGGGAAGCTCAGACTGATCATCGCAGCCAGGAAAAGATCGTTGTGAAGAATCTCTCAGAGGAGAAACCTCACTTTACACATGCGGCGGATGTGAATGCACAACTTTTGAAACAAGAAGAGTCTGTACCGCCGCTGAAGGAACCGGAGGAAGAGGAGCTCAGCGGACTGGAGTTTGAGATGAAGATCGAACAGGTGGAAGAACTTGTGGATCAGACACTGGGTCAAGTTCAGGAAAAGCAGAAGTGTAAAGGACAAAACCACTGCCATGACGGAAACTCTCGTTTATGGTGTTCCGGGAAAGTGTTTGACCATCCGGAAAATCTTGTGGAGTCGGAACAACATTCCCAGAGTTTTACAGATCCATATGGGATGGAGGATCCGACGACCACGTCAACTCAGTCCGGTTTATTGGCTGTTCTGCAGAACGAGAGCTTTGGCGTTGCAGACATTGAGTATGACTTGAATCTTCAGGATTCCCATAGACACTCTCCCACAACGAGCTCATCTGACTCGACGCCGTTCAACACACTCCCATCCTCACATTCAAGCTCGTGTTTGCCCAAAACGCTCCCACAGAGTCTGAATGCCGGCAAGCACACAGAACCCAAACCCTTCCGATGTGACGAGTGCGGGAAAGGCTTTACACAGAGGACTCGGCTGTTAACACACAGACTAGTTCACACAGGCGAGAAACCCTTCAGATGTGACGAGTGCGGGAAAGGCTTCACACAGAGGACCCGTCTTTTAACACACAGACTAGTGCACACGGGCGAGAAACCCTTCAGATGTCATTTTTGCGGTAAGACTTTCTCCAGACAGGACAACTGTCTCAGACACGTGCGCTTGCACAGCGGACAGAGATGATGAACTTGGACACGATCGCACACTCACACAAGGTTTTACATATCGTGTCTCAAAGTGAGATTTCTTAGAATTGTAACTGTGTTGATATTAGCTTTAGTTGCATTTCTGCATTAAGGCCTGTTACACACATCTTACACTGTTATTATGCAACTTCTCCCTTGCCATGAAATACATAATGTTGAAACCACACCAGTAGGTGGCGGCAAAGCATTGGTTTAACGAGTGAAGCCTTGTGTATACTCGACGCGTCCGCAAGAGCGAGAAGGGCGCGTGGAAAAAATTACGTCATAGCTGTGGGCGGTCGTGCGCGTTGGACGCGCAAAACCCCATATCGCTTGACGGTGTGCACGGCACTTTTTATAACATCACGTGCGGCGCCGCATCCGAAGATGAACGACTTCGAGCCGAATCTGACCAAACTGGTAAGATCTGTACCAGCATGTTTATGATGTTTTGATACACAGAGACTTTTGCATTGATAGGCGGCCATAAAATCTAATTTTGTGAACAGGAACACATTTGCATTAAGCACCTAGTTTGCACTTGCCCTGTAGATGAAATTAAGGTTTAAAAACTCTCCAATTTAAGGCTTCAGTTGTTTAACTAGTTTACTTGCAGTGAACGTAGCCTACAATAAACCTACTGCATTTACCTCTTTTATGAATTAGCAATTAATAAACTACTAATAAACAGCAAACTACTTCTTCACTGCTGATTCCTGGTGGTTTAACGGTGAGCGCGTCAAATATAAACGCCTCGTCCGTTTGGAGAGGTGCGCGCGCAGTCAGCAGTCGTGCGGACACGTCGAGTATACACAAGGCTTGAGTCACTGAGTTATTCACTCATCCGATTCATTCAGGCACAAAGCAGAAGTGAGTCGACGAATCATTTCGTTCAAAAACGCAGACTCATTCGGTGACGAACTACTGTGCTGTTCTGAGATGTGCAATGGCTCTAAAGTTTAGAACTATTTTCATTGGTTAAATAGAAGAAAAAGGATAATATTGACAATATTGTGTCTAAAATCTAAGTCACTAAATAGCCTATTAACTTATTGTTTATTGAATTGTTGTTGGCCGATAAAATCATTATCGCGTTTGCAAACAAGCTGATATACGGGAAAAAGGGACTGTGCAAAAAAACGGGACTTTTTTGCACCATATCTTTTTGGAATTATTTTTTATTAATTTTGATAGCATTTTTGCTCCAAGTCACATTATTTAATGGACCTCGGATAACATGAACTAACAATGAACACTTGTGTTTTTATTAACTAATGTGAACAAAGGTTTATAAATACTGTAACAGATGCATTGCTCATTGTTAATGTTAATTAAAGCATTAACTAACCTTAACTAATGTGGCTTTATTGTAAAGTGTTACCAAATTAAAAAAAATACATATAATGAAAAACTTAAACAAGCAGAAAATATAAAAATACAAACTAAATCAAAATACGATAATCATTGTATAATGAAATTCGTAAACTTTCCCGTCTCCATTTTTTTATTTTGTTAATATTAGTTCTGGTGAAAGCCAAAATATTAAATTTCATGGCTGTATATTGCCTGAGTAATCCACTGTTCTGTAGAGATCCTCATTGCATGTCCAAATTGTTGAATATAATCTCAACCATTTCAATGGTTGAGAACCAAATGAGTTGATTTGCATACAGCCAATACTCATTACATTTAAAAGGCAATGTCTGAAGAATAAAATCATGTTGAAACTAGAATTTTGTTTTGTTCTATCAAAACAATTGAATAGAACATTCCTGTCCAGTGCCAAAAATACACTGAAATGGTCATGTTGAGGTACAGTAGTTGTATTACTAACTTTCAGAAGTTTGTACATAAAAATCTATATTTTAATTAGTCAGAGATATTTGTAAGAATGGATATTATTAATTTTAATAGCTTCTAAAACTTTGAAACTAATGTCACACCTTTTAGGAAAGGGTTTGCTTTTCCAACACATATTCTCAGTATTGACATAAACCATTGACCAATGGCTAAAATTCAACACTTTGGGCTTGGAGATGAATTGAGATCCCCATATCTGTGGGATTGAACCATATTGGGCCTTAAACATTAAGATACCAAAAGGGAAGTTTATTAAGAACCAGAATGTAAAAATCAAACTGAGATATCTTTAATACTTCTTGAGTTAAAGGCATGCAAACTTTGGAAAAAGAGCTTTTATGGCACTTGGACAGGAATTTTCAATGCAATCGTTTTTATAGGGGGAAACAATGCATTTCTAGTTTCAACATTATTTGTTCTTCAGATATTCCACTTAAAAAGAGAAAAAGCATCAGCTGTAAGAAAAGTGACCCAAATCTGGTTTTTTGACATTGGAAATGGCTATGTACAATTGAACAATTTACTCTTGGAGCCACATTGAGATCCCCATATCTCTGAAACTGGACCATATCGGGCCTTAAAACTGAAGATTTCTAAAGAAAAGTTTGTTAGGAACCAGAATATAGAAGGATATTAAGATATGTTTAATACTTCTTGAGTTACAGGCATTCAAACTTTGGGGGGGAAGTCATGAAAAGTGCTTTTGCCCCATGTTTGAACTGGCACGGTTGGTATATAATGCAACAAAGATTACAAAAGTCAAAAGATTTCACTAATAAATCTATCAATCTATGTGTAAAACTAAATTAATGATGCTGTCATCTCTCTTAAGTAATTTTTAGCCCCCGTAATTTGGCTCCGAACCTCAAAATTGTAATTAGTAAATAGTCCTCCATGAGATTTAATATTTTGCTTTTCTACACCCTTTATGTTTGTCTTTCACCAGAAAAGAAGTGATCAAAGTCCGGGGACCCCTGGTTGAGTTAACCACTGCTAATCCAGATGCCAAAATTATAATTTTTTAGGAAATATTTAATGTGTTTTAAATTTGTAATTAAAAATAATAATAATACATTTTATTTGCAATGTACCTTTCTTATCCTCAAAGCGCTATAAAAAAAACAAGCGAAACAATACATGAAATATTGGACGCATGTGTGAAACAGGCCTGATGCGTAAAGCTGATGTTTGGATCTTTAATGTTTTATCATATTCACTTTAATCTGAATCTCACACTTGAAATTGTCGATCAAACGTGTTGACATAATCGTCAGGGATCTTGCTCTGTGTTTCCGGTCACAGATTTGACCCTGGATTAACCCTCAGTAATCATGACTGTGTATTTGTAAACCTTGGCTTATTTGCATATTTACATTTTGACATTTGTTGTAAGCATGTTTTAATAACTGATCATCCATCTGTGGAAATGTTGCCTCGTGAGTCTCTCGTTACACCAGTAACACACTTTAGTGGTGTCATTTTACAAAGTACATGAATATTTAAGTATTTTCTATTTAAGTAAAACTAAGGTGAGTGCTGTTGAGATTATGATTATGAGGATTGAGCCTCGCTGCGTTGTGCAGTCGTGAAGCTCCAGGTTTTCTAAAGCTGTTGACCCAGGGTTCGGGATCCATTGAGCCACGCTGGTTGTTTGAATACGTTTTCCTGCTCAAAGAATATGAACAATGTTTTAACATTTCTCTAATGTCAACCTGTAATGATGCACCTGTGCTGTTTATTTCTGCATCACATTCAGGGTTTTTCTTATTAAACCCTTTTTTCAGATTGAACAATCTTATTAACAGCTTCATTTCTGTGTGTGTGTGTGAGAGAGAGAAAGAGAGAGTGTGCGTGTGCATGTGTGAGTTTGTGTGTGATTTTGAATAATATCTAAAATATTATTTTGACCTCAGATTATGACATGGTCATTTCATATTTTAGATTGTGGGAGTTTAGTTGTTGATTTTGATTTATGTTTATTTATTTATTTATTAGTAATAGTTGTTGATGTTGTTGTTTTGTAAATAACCAACCAGCAAAAAGTCAGGTAATTGTAAGTATTTGTTTATTTATTTACCTTTATTAATGTATTTAGTGGTAAAAAATTATAAAGAACAAATCAGAAATGAGATGGCAATATTTTTTTCTATTTATTTACATAGAAATCTATATATTTAATGGATTTTTTTTTTTTTATAAAATCCAGCAACCAGCAATAAGTTAGTTTATTTAATTATGTATTTGCATTTACTAATGTAAAAAGTCAGGTGATATTTTTCTGCTTGATTTATCTTCCTAATGTCCGAGTTTTATTACAGAAGGAGTTTTCACAGCGTCTCCTGGAGCTGGAGCGAGAGACGGCGTGCCGGAGCGAGAGAGTCCCGGAGCGGCTCGGAGCGATCGGGAAGAGGAGGCAGGAGCCCGCTCATCTGCTCCCTGGACCTCCTGTTCCCCGAGCGGAGCCCGTCCGGAGGAGCCAGAAACAGCGAGCCGGTTCTGTGTACGGACGGGAACCCGAACGGCGTCCGGTGGAGGTGTGTGTCCGAGCCGGAGAGCGTGAGTTTGAGTGACGGCGGCGGGAGGAGGTCCGGTAACGTGTTTCTGCGCTCCGATGGGTTCCTGAGCTTCACGTCTCTTTCCTCCACTGGGAAACCTCTGCGAAGTGAGTCTTTATCCTGGTCCTCCAGGCTCTTCTCGTAGGCGTCGCTGAGAGCCGCCAGGTTCTGGATGGCGAGCCACGGTTCGGACCGCAGCCGGCTTCTGCTCCGCGCCGGAGAACCGTCGGCTCGGAAACTAAAGACGTTTTCGCCGTCGGAGTTCGGAGAGTTGGTGTTGAGCTCGATGTCCGAGGGAGACATGCAGGAGACGGGCGAGGTGTCGGGCGACGGCGCGACGTTCAGATAGCGGCTAGCGCTAGCGCCGCAGCTCAGATCCGTGGCTATGATGATGATCTCGCGGCCTCGGGATCTGCAGGCGTCCAGGAGCACCTTTAGCGTGTCCGGATCCTGCGCGTTAATGGCGTAGACGAGTGCCGACGCTCCGGAGTAATCCTCCATAGTGGCGTCGGCTCCGGCTACGATGAGAGCGGATGCTAGCTCGGCTCCGGCTCGCTCCATGCAGACGTACATCAGCGCCGTGCGGCCCGTCTTGTCCTGGATGTTGGGGTCGGCCCGGTTATTCAGGAGGAACTGGATCAGCCTCAGCATGGGTTCTGACGGGTGTGCGCGGAGAGATCGGCAGGCGGCGAGTAGCGGCGTCTCTCCGCTCGCGTTCCTCTCGTTCACCTGAGCGCCTCCTTCCACCAGCACACGCACCAAACGCAGCTTCCCCAGCTGAGCCGCGGTGATCAGCGGACGCCCGTCCGTCAGGAGACACGCCGGCTCCGCCATCCTGCGGACACGCACACACACGCACACAGACACAAGTGTTCACTAAAAAAAGTAAACATTGCCAAGTCAAAACTGAGATAAAAAGTGATTTTCAGTTTTTATTCAGAATTTTCACCGTCAGCTCGCTATTAAAGGACAACTCCGGCGCAAAATGAACCTTTGGTCTAATTACACATTGTTACCTAGTCAACCGTTATCTGAGATTTGTTTTCATGATTGCCGAATGTAAATAGTTTCATCTCTAAAAACAGTTTAGCCTATAACGCTAGTATAATGCTAGTATATGGGGCATAGAGTAATGACAAATAAAAATCGCTTGTTATAACGACTAACAAGGCTCAAAATAGCCCCACAGTAACACGACAGCATAATAAGGGTCCCTACATTCAAACCAAAGCATTGAGAACTTTGTTAGTGTCCATACAGTTTAATAAGAAGATATTTTATACACACACAGTCAACTTCGCGAATACAGGAAGAAGCCATCTTGGAAAAATAGTCTCTACCAGTCGATCTACGAACGCCGATCCAAGTGCGCTGGTGAGATGTGAATAAGGTGATAAGGTGAGCGCGAACAGTAGGCTACGTGTACATATTGAAGAGAAGAAAATGGTTTGTGTTTCTTCCGGAAACAACGGACCATATGAGATTCTGCACGGTTCAGCGCACTTGGATCGGCGTTCGTAGATCGACTGGTAGAGACTTTTTTTCAAAGATGGCTTCTTCCTGTATTCGCGAAGTTGACTGTGTGTGTATAAAATATCTTCTTATTAAACTTTATGGACACTAACAACGTTCTCAATGCTTCGGTTTGAATGTAGGGACCCTTGTTATGCTGTCGTGTTAGTGTGGGGCTATTTTGAGCCGTGTTTGTGGTAATAACAAGCGATTTTTATTTGTCGTTACTCTATGCCCCATATACTAGCATTGTACTAGCGCTATAGGCTAAACTGTTTTTAGAGATAAAACTATTTACATTCAGCAATCATGAAAACAAATCTCAGAAAACGGTTGACTAGGTAGCAATGTGTAATTAGACCAAAGGTTCATTTTGCGCCGGAGTTGTCCTTTAATAGTGTACATTGTTTCTGCTTTATAAAAAGCTGCTTTACAACGAAGTAACAGAGATGGATTTGTTTTTATAGCGGTTCTTGGATAACGTTATTTTCCAGCTAAAGATTGATTCTCTTCCGCTGAAATGATCATTAAGTTAGGGGCCGCTAACACGACACCATTCTCCCTAAACAGACTTTAAACTGTCATTTTATTTCTCGTAAATCCTCTTTATTACGTCACTCATGAACCCCGTGTGATGATGATCTGTGAGGATGTCGAAGGTCAGCACAGTCAGATCCTCTTCATCTCGACAGGAGTCCTCTGTTCCCGGACTGAGCTGAGCTTGAAAGCCCAAACTCTTTATACTTTATGATAATAATCTCACGATCCAAACGTCAATTCAATCGGACATTCAGAATATCCACGTGCGATAAATGCATCGGCAGCATTATGACATACAATGATCAGTTTAGAGTCTGAATATAGTCAGGTCTGCACGAATCTGCATTATATTATAATTTTCACAGCATCGAATTCAATGTTTATTAAATGTGCCAAATTTATTATAATGTCTATCATGATATTATATGTAACGTCAGACTTACACTGAGAAGAGAATTAAATAGTCGATCACAGTTTGTGTGCCAGTTTATCATCGTCTTGATTTCATAAATCATGAATTGATTACAATGTAATTTATCATTTTTAAAGTAAGTTAGGCCTAATAACACGTGAAATAGTAAACGAATTTACCTGTGTTTTCAGTCTGAAACGAGCAGGAGCTTCTGAGATGAAGCGGGGAACAGTGTGTGTGTGAGTGAGTGAGAGAGAGAGATGTGTGTGTGTGTGCTTGCGCGAGCATGACTTGATGAACACACATCAAGCACATCTCCAGTCTTCAGTGGATAACTGCTGGCCCTCTAGCGGTGAAACAGCAGACCTGCAGGATGAGAGAGAGAGGGAGAGAGAGAGAGAGAGAGAGAGGAGACAAGTTCAGATGGAGACTCTTGGGCTGAATGTGTTAAAGTAGGGATGTAAATTCACTCAACTCACGATGCGAAACGATTCACGATACTGATTTCACGATACGATTTTCTCGCGATTTTTCAAACAAATGAGATTTAAGACAAATTATAAATGAAAAATTGTGTCTTTTATTATTCCTCAGACAAAATTCAGCACATTTCTTTTTCATTTTGAACTATATTTGTCAAATAATAAAAGTATATTGAAAAAAAAGGTGGGTGCTGGGTGCCATTCGCTCCTCATAGTGACCACACAATAGCGCCGCCTATTGATCAAAAGTGATATGCAATTTAATAATTTTACAAGTGAATGTATTTGTGATTTTTCAGCCATTTTGACTAAAATAATAATGTCTTTAAAAGCTCCGTGATGTGCTTCCATTAAACATCATGCTTGCTTGGACCCGATTCAGCTGTACTACTTTCATTATTTCCCTCTAGTAATTAAATCTGTTTACGAGCTGTTTAATTCTTAAAATAATAAGCACTTATCGAACATTTTCTTCTTTGTAAGGTTATAACTGTAAGTTTGCTTTACTATCTGTCACTATAGATAAAATAATCATATTTCAGTGTCATCAGAAACCCCAGCACTCTCCTGCATAGAGTTATTGTTATTCTGATTATACGAGCTAAAGCAGTTCAAGGGCAAGTTGAGGATGTTTGTCTGCTCAACGCCATCAGTAGTTTTCCACTGCAGTTTCTAGAGCATTCTTACACATGATCGTCCTTCACCAACTTGGTACATTTCCACTGTCTCGCAATAAGTGCTTGTGAATTAGACTCTTGCTGAGTCACAACACTTTTTATCTGTTTCCAAATGTGTTTGTACAGGTTTAACCCTTCACATGATCCTGTCTGATCACAGAATATCATTAAGTCAATGCATTCTGCTCTTTTGATGTAAAAATGCAGCTGAGAAATTATTATTTTCTTTCAATATTAATATTTATGCGTGTAGTTTATTTTATTTGTGCATATAAATTATCAATACAGCATTACATGTGCATATTACAGTAAGCAGATTGTCCTTCTGCTTTTGTCTGATAGACTCCAGGATCATAAATCATCACATTTCGGTCCACGAGTGGAAGAATCGAGAAGGTGTCTGTAACTCCTCCTCCGCGCGGTGAATGAGACTGTGGCGCGCGACCAATAATAACCAAGTGCGACACACTTACACACTCATCAGGTGACGAACCTTCGCACATTCGACACACACCCTGAGCTTTAAAAGGACTTAAGTCTACGCTGAAACATACTTTTTTTATTCTGCTCTGGAAATTTTAAAGGTATGTCTAATGCTGAAATTATTCAATATATGGATATGCAATATGCTTTATTTGACTATTCTGTACATTTTTGGATTTGAATGAATAAAACTGAATGAATGTTGTGTTAGAGATGTTCTGTTATTGTTGCAGGCTCATCATCATCATGCAAGTTCGTATCAACAGCGCTGATGTGAAATACACAGAGAAATACATCGAGTCTCGTTACTGTTATCACACTGCGTGTGTGTGTCGAGATGGAGACGCGCTCACTGTAAGTGCTTCAACATCTTTAATAAACTGATGGATTTATGTCTGGATTGTTGTGAGTGTTGAGTGATAAAATTGCATTGCATTTTGTTCCTTATGTGAGTCGGTGACATGCCACTATTTAAACATTTTTAAACACTCATCTCTCACAGGGAACAGCGTTCTCTTAAAGTTCTCTTAAAGGGGCAGCTCACTCAAAAACCTGTCATCAGTCACTCGCCCTCAAGCTGGTCCAGACCTGCTGTACGACTGTATTTCTCTTCTGTTGAGCACAAAAGAAGATATTTAGAAGAATGTGGGTAGCTAAACAATTGTTAGTCCCCATTCACTTTAGTATTTTTAGTGTTTACCAGCAAATGTTTAGTTCGTAAAAAGATGGAATGAACACGTTATAGCATGCACGATTTATTAAAACGAGTGAACAAATTATTATATTGTTCGTACGTTTTCGTAAAACAAGTGAACGAATTATTATATTGTGCGCACGATTTAGTAAAACAAGTGAAGGAATTATTATATTGTGCGCACAATTTAGTAAAACGAGTGAACGATTTATTATATTGTGCGCACGATTTCATAAAACGAGTGAACGATTTATTATATTGTATGCATGATTTATTAAAACGAGTGAACAAATTATTATATTGTATGCACGATTTAGTAAAACAAGTGAAGGAATTATTATATTGTGCGCATGATTTAGTAAAACGAGTGAACGCACTATTATATTGTGCGCACGATTTAGTAAAACGAGTGAACGATTTATTATATTGTGCGCACGATTTAGTAAAACGAGTGAACGAATTATTATATTGTGCGCACGATTTAGTAAAACGAGTGAACGAATTATTATATTGTTCGTACGTTTTCGTAAAACGAGTGAACGAATTATTATATTGTGCGCACGATTTAGTAAAACAAGTGAACGAATTATTATATTGTGTGCAAAATTTAGGAAAACCAGAGAACGAATTATTATATTGTTCGTACGTTTTCGTAAAACCAGTGAACGAATTATTATATTGTGCACACGATTTAGTAAAATTAGTGAACGAATTATTATATTGTTCGCACGTTTTCGTAAAATGAGTGAACAAATAATTATATTGTGTGCACGTTTTTGTAAAATGAGTGAACGAATTATTATATTGTGCGCTCATTTTCGTAAAATCAGTGAACGAATAATATTGTGTGTAAAAATTAGTAAAACGAGTGAACGAATTATTATATTGTGCGCACGATTTAGTAAAACAAGTGAACGAATTATTATATTGTGTGCAAAATTTTGTAAAACCAGTGAACGAATTATTATATTGTTCGTACGTTTTCGTAAAACGAGTGAACGAATTATTATATTGTGCGCACGATTTAGTAAAACAAGTGAACGAATCATTATATTGTGTGCACGATTTAGTAAAACCAGTGAACGAATTATTATATTGTTTGTACGTTTTCGTAAAACGAGTGAACGAATTATTATATTGTGCGCACGATTTAGTAAAACAAGTGAACAAATTATTATATTGTTCGCACGTTTTCGTAAAATCAGTGAACGAATTATTATATTGTGCGCTCATTTTCGTAAAATCAGTGAACAAATAATATTTTGTGTAAAATTTAGTAAAACCAGTGAACGAATTATTATATTGTGCGCACGATTTAGAAAAACGAGTGAATTAATGATTATATTGTGCGCACGTTTTTGTAAAATGAGTGAACGAATAATTATATTGTGTGTACAAATTCATGTACATTCCTGCACCTGTCATAGACATCCAAATGACGTCCAAAAAAATTACCCAGTTCAAAGGTCAAATGTTGAATGTCAATATGGTCATGGTCATGGTTGGACGTCCAAACAGTGGACCTACAGTGGTTTGGACGTCGAATAGATGTCCAGAATTGGTCACGGATCAACGGACCCGATATAGACATGATCTCCAATAACCACTTAAAGAAATCAGTAAGCTCAATGAAGACCAGTTCAGGTTCTCCACACTTCTAGAGGCCACAGACGATCCGGCCTCGAACTAACTTCAGATTCACAAACACTAGATGGATGATCAGTTGATGTTGAGTCTACAAGTTTAACAAGAGTGCGAACATGATATTCTCTTTATGCAAATGAGACATTATCTGTTGTTCCATATACGAGTCATAACACCCGAAGGACTCTTCTCGTCTGCTCTCTGTTACGGGTCACATGCCTCTAAACATAATAAACTCAGGAAATATCTTCTGAATCCAAGGCTGAGTTCTTGTCGGGACTTACAAACTTCGACACATGATTCACTGTCATAGTTTAGCATAGTGACAAATTGTGCTATAAATCTGAAAAAGAATTACGGTGTTAGAACATATTGGTAACACTTTACAATGAGGTTTATTAGATAATATATTATCTTACATGAACTAACAATACAGTTACTATATTAGTTAATCTTTGTTAATATTAGTTATTGAAAATACAGCTGTTTGTTGTTTTAGTTCACAGTGCATTCACTAATGTTAACAAATATACAACCTTTGATTCGAATAATGTATTGGTAAATGTTGAAATTAATATTACTAAGATTAATAAAGGCTGTAAAAGTATTGTTCAATCTTCAATCTAAGGTAAAAAGTGCTGCGTGTATCTTTCACTCTACTAAAGCATAAAAATACCATAATATGTCTGCATATATTGAGGAAACATGCTGAGTTCACACACTCGCTTCCCTGAAAAACACTACAAACTGGCGACCCGTGAGCGTCGAGTCCGTGGAGCTGATTATTCAGATTTGGGCTGCAGTACCGATGTCCACCACTAGTGTCATTCTTACAGACTGCACCTTTAACTGATGAATGGTATGTTTGTTATCTGTGACTGTAAATGTGTGTGTTGTTCAGGTGACGCCGTCCAGCACCGAGTTCACGTTCCGCACGGAGAGGACGGTTCCCCGGCTGGGAGTGATGCTGGTGGGCTGGGGTGGGAATAACGGGACCACGGTCACTGCCGCCGTCCTGGCCAACAGACTGGGCCTGACCTGGAGCACCAAGACCGGCGTGAAGGTACAGTTATATTCACATTCATTTCTATAGCGCTTTTCACAACACACATCATTTCAAAGCAGCTTTACATGAAAATGCATGAGTCCACATTATAATATACAGCGGTCTGTGTTATGCATTTCAGAAATGTACATATACAAAATCACTGTTAGCGAAAAATGTGTTTATTTAAACAATGTAAGATGCAGACAAACTGAGTTTAATAAGCTGAGCCACTGTTTTGGGAGTTGAAAGATCCAGTAGCGACCCAATAGTGTCCTTAAATCTAAAATACCATGAATACATGTCAATAATATAGTGCTGGGCATCCAAAATAAAAGTTTGTGTTTACATAATATGTGTTTGTACTGTGTATAATTATGTTGTATATATAAATACACACACATGCATGTATTTATTTAAGAATAATGTGTTTTTTATGTATAAAATATTTATCTTTATACATAATATAAATTATATATAAATATATATACAATAAATACATGCAAATATTTCTTATTTCTTATATATTTAAGAAAAAAAAATATTTATATATGACATACAGTATATATAATATAAATTATATAAAATAGACAATATATACATGCAAATATTTCTTATTTCTTATATATTTAAGAAAAAAAATATTTATATATGACATATATATATAATATAAATTATATAAAATATATATACAATAAATACATGCAAATATTTCTTAAATATATACATGCATGTGTGTGTATATTTACAAACAAAATAATGATATACAGTACACACATATATGTAACACAAACTTTTATTTTGGATGTGATTAATCGCGATTAATCAAAATGTTATATAATGCATGCAAATATTTTTGCACATAAAACAGCACAACAGAAATAACCCTAACCCGACAACATGGAGCGAACGCAATATTAGCGAACGCAAGTATTAGTGTGGAAGAGAGACGTGGGTAACAAGGTCCCATTAGTTGACGTTAGTTTGTTCGAGTATTTAGTAATCTTGTCCGTCTTTCAGAAAGCGAATTACTACGGCTCCCTGCTGGAATCTTCCACGGTGTGTTTGGGATCGGGACCCGACGGAGAGGTCTACGTCCCCTTCCGAGATCTGCTGCCGATGGTGCATCCCAATGACATCGTGTTCGACGGTAAAGAACAAACATTCGATGAAGTTCGTTTCCTATTTTAATGATGTAAGCTCATGATTTAAAGCAAGTTCACTTGGGGCGCACACTTTTGCTAATTTAACGGCGGGACACATGGTCGGCGCATGATCTAAAAGTAATAAAAAAAAAAAAAAAATTAAATTACTAAAAAATAAAACAATACTGTGCCATTGACTATTGAACATAGACCAGCAGCTCATGGACACAGATTAAAAAATGAAAAGTGCGTCGGGCTGAAACTAGCAAAACACACTTGCGTCGCGCCTGTGTGTGTGATCATCTCACACTCCTGTTGTTGCTCATCACTGATGCAGGCTGGGATATCTCGTCTCTGGATCTGGGCGGGGCCATGGAGCGCGCGCAGGTTCTGGATTGGAGCCTGCAGGAGAAGCTCCGCCCACTCATGAACCAGCTCAAGCCCAGACCCTCCATATACATCCCAGAATTCATAGCTGCGAACCAGGAGCACAGGGCGGACCACCTCATCAGAGGAACCAAAGCAGAACAGGTGCACTGCTCACTCGTCACTGGGACGGCGCTCATTACATATTCTGGTAACATATTATAATTAGGCTTCAGGTCAATATTTGATGTCTGAGAGGTTCGGGAATCCCTGCACTAGTCGAGGGGGCTTATTATAACGTGTTATTAATATTTTTACTCTACATAATTTGAATCAGAGTCACACACACACACACACACGTTTTCTAATGTTGAAGATGTGTGTGTTCAGGTGGCTCAGATCCGCAGAGACATCTGTGACTTCCGGCAGAAGAGTGGCGTCGAGAAAGTCATCGTTCTCTGGACCGCAAACACGGAGAGATTCTGTGACGTCGTTCCTGGCGTCAACGACACCGCGGAGAATCTGCTGAACACCATCGAGGTGTGTGTGTGTGTGTGTTATCTCAGAATAAACCCCCTCAGGCTGATGAAGACCAGGGGCCACATGTATAAAACTTTGCGTAGATTTCATCCTTAAAGCGTGCGTACGCACATAAGGCAGAATTTGCGTACGCACAAAAGTTTTCAGATTTATAAAACCGTTCGTACGCCAGAACCTGCGCAGAATTCACTTTATAAATCCCAGTCAGCGGGAGATTATGCGCACGTGCGTCTCCTCCCCGAAATAACCATATATGGAGATTACAACGCCTAGTTTAAATATGCATATCCTAATCTGCATATCATTTGCATATGATTATTCATCCACGTGATACCAAGTTTAACGGTACAAGACGTTAGGAAAATATGAAATGCGGATGTGCCGTCACATTAGCTATTACAAACATATTTTTTTAGTAGCCTATATCCTTGTTTTTGAATGAATAAATCAAATAGTGTTAAATACATTTCAGAGAAAGTTTTTCTCAATCTTTTCCACTGGCCAAATAGTATTTTTAATTGATTTATATTTTAATGGAAACAGATAGACATGGTTGTGCATTATTTGCACGAAACAGTTTTCTCAGACAATCTCTAGTTGAAACATTAAAACACAGCATGCCAGAAGAAAAGTGTTCAAAAGCAATGCATCCACAACAAATAGGTATATTTCTATTTATTGAATATATATATTGTAACTTCTCAGTAATGATTTCATGTAGTTTAAGAGTTTAACTCCATTAATGAGAATAGCATATTTCATCTAAATGTTTATATCAGAAGTAAAACATAGTTTAAACCATTCTGTTATTGTGAATATGGACTATATTTATGATTTGGACTCATAATGAAGATTTACGGTTTTACTCCATCTGCCGTTAGATTATAGGCTATATAATGTGCGTCAGTTTCACCAAACGGCCCAACGCGCGTGCTGGCGCGGTCATTTAAGAAGGGATGGATGTTTGCTTCAAGTAATGATAGGTTTGTGAAATTATATTTATATTATCTTTCTGTAGATGTATAATTTTCTTTAGATTCTCTGTCTAATAGTGAGCAAAAAGACATTTGACTCACCATCGGTGTCGCCAAAACACACACTCTTCTAAAAGAGTGCGTACGCACGGTCAAGAGCATCCTTACGGAGCGCACTTATTTACGGCAAGTTTATTTTTTATAAATCCCGATGTGCGCGTGGAAAAATGCGTACGCATATTTCTATGCCCATTTTGTGCGTACGCAACGTTTATACATCAGGCCCCTGATCCTGACCACCCCGTCGGGTTTATTCTGATGTACATTATCACGTACTGAACATAAAAACACAAGTATTACTGCGTCTGGATGCTTTTGTCGTGTGTCGCCACAGACCGGGGGGGAAGTGTCTCCCTCCACCATGTTTGCGGTGGCCAGTATTCTGGAAGGTTGTGCGTATATTAACGGCTCGCCGCAGAACACGTTCGTCCCCGGAGCCGTGGATCTGGCCGTGCAGCGAGGAGTCTTCATCAGCGGAGACGACTTCAAATCCGGCCAGACCAAACTCAAGTCGGTTCTGGTGGACTTCCTCGTCAGTGCTGGAATCAAGGTAAGACTCGTTCTAACCAACATTAACCGTGGTTGAATGACCAATTTGCGACAGTCCGGTTTCGGGAAACAGTCATGACTAGTTGATCTATAATCACAAAACAGCCAGGCAAAGTCAAAATCCATATAAAGGCAGACCCAAAACAGGACTGGACCTCAGAAGTGCACTCTGACACTCCATGACAAACACTGAACCTCAGGGCCGTGCACAGGGGGGTAGAGCCACTGCCCCTCTGCCCTCATCGACTGAGGTGCCCCTCCTGCCCACCTGCTCCGCTTTGCTCAAAGCATTCCGTTGGTTCCGCTAATCCGCTCCAGGTTTTCCCGCTCGCTCCGCACTCCGCAGGTCTGCGGCCCTCTCTTGAAACTGGGATAAGAGTGAATACGACAGTTCACGAAAGCTGTTGCATTAACAGGTAGGCTTTGCAAGACTATGGAAGCTTGTTTCCGCCACAGAATGAAAAATAAAAAAGGCAATTGCAACTTTTTATCTCACGATTCTGACTTTTATTCTCACAATTGCGAGTTTACGCAAATCTGACTTCATATCTCGCAATTCTGAGAAATAAAGTCAGAATTGCGAGATATGAAGTCAGATTTGCGTGATATAAACTATTCTGAGGGGGAAAAGTTCGTATTTTTTCCCCCTTAGAATTGGCTTGAGACTCGCAATTGCGAGTATATATCTTAAAATTCGGAGAAAAGATGTAAGAAATTCGACAATTATGTGTTATAAAGTCAGAATTGCGAGATGTAAACTAGCAATTGTGAGGAAAAAAGTCGCAATTCGGTTTTTTTTTCTCTTAGAACTCGCAATTCTGACTTTATAACACAATTCTGGCTTTATAACTCGCAATTCTGACTTTATATCACACAATTCTGACTTTATAACACAATTCTGACTTTATATCACACAATTCTGACTTTATAACTCGCAATTCTGACTTTATAACTCGCAATTCTTACTTTATATCTCGCAATTCTGACTTTATATCTCGCAATTCTGACTTTATAACTCGCAATTCTGACTTTATATCACACAATTTTAAGATAAAAAGTCGCAATTATTTATTTTTTTCATTTTTATTCAGTGGCGGAAACAAGCTTCCATAATAGACAGTGGTTGAATCTGCGAAATTATTCTTTATTTTTTTGTTTGTTTTTGTGCATTTATGTCGGTAATGTTTTGCTCTTGGTCTTCTACTAGTGCTAACAACTTGTACAACATATCCACGTTCTTAGAATTAGCTGCTTGTCTAATCAAATTATTGTACTCTCTCGATCTAATACAAATAATAGCCTAGTACACCCCCATCCTTTTGCTGTAAAAGGAAAATACTGTAACAATAATGTAAAAAATTTAAAACTGTAACAATAACTGAATAATTTGTGTTAACAAGCAACCACCCCCTTAGTGCCCCTTTTTTTGGCTAAGGCCACTGCCCCTCAAAATGTCTGTGCACAGCCCTGCTGAACCTGACAGGGTATAAATAGACAGATACAAACAATGTGAGTGGGAACAGCTGTGTGCAACGATCAGTGATGAGTTCAGACAAAGGATTCTGGGAAATGCAGTTCATGATGTGGTGACGGTGTGGGGAAGAGACCTCTAGTGGACACCAACGGTACACCAATCAGACACTGTGACGCTAACACTATTACTTGTATATATGTGTTCAGCCAACTTGTATAGTGAGTTATAATCACCTGGGGAACAACGACGGGCTGAACCTGTCGGCGCCGCAGCAGTTCCGCTCCAAGGAGATCTCCAAGAGCAACGTGGTGGACGACATCGTGCGGTCCAATCCCATCCTGTTCCGGCCCGGGGAGAAGCCCGACCACTGCGTGAGTGTGTGTGTGTGTGTGTGCTTACGTCTCATCTGAGTAAATATTCACTACTGCTCAAGAGTTTGGGGTCAGTAAGATTTTTTATTAACACTTTTATTCATCAAGGTTGATCAAAAGTAATAATAATCATGTTTATTGAGCATCAGATCCTCATATTAGAGTGATTTCTGAAGGATCATGTGACTCTGAAGACTGAAGTAATGATGATAAACTCAGCTTTGATCACAGGAATAAATTACACTTTACTGTATATTCACATAGACAACAGATGATTTACATTGGAATATTATTTCACATTTTTGATGTAATAAACACAGCCTTGGTGAGCAGAAGAGACTCTTATGTTTGAACATTATGTTCATATACACGTAGTTCATGTACTATATAATCTAGCATTTTGAAACTGGTATTCCGGTCTACAAGGAAAGATGCAATGCAAATATAATGTGCAAATAAAACAAATCTAATGTGTGTGTGAACAGGTGGTTATTAAATACGTCCCCTATGTGGGCGACAGCAAGCGTGCGATGGATGAGTACACCTCCGAGATCATGATGGGAGGAACCAACACCATCGCCATGCACAACACCTGCGAGGTCAGAAACACGTCTAATAACGCAAATCAGCAAACTTTACTGAGAACTCATGGCTGGTGATTATGAATGCATGCAACTCTGAATCAACATGCACATTAATGAGCTCATCGTTTCTGCATTGAATTATTACATTGTTTAATTCATACTTTTTTCCGCTAATTGTGATTTTGTATATGTGCATTTCTGAAAGTGCTGTTCTAATAAATATGGATTGCTGTTACCGTGGCGATTATAGGACTCTCTGCTGGCCAGTCCTATTATCCTGGATCTGGTGATCCTGACGGAGCTGTGCCAGAGGATCACGTTCTGCACTCGAGAGGATCCGGAGTTCCAGAGTTTCCACAGCGTCCTGTCGCTGCTCAGCTTCCTGTGTAAAGCCCCGCTCGTGCCACAGGGGGCGCCGGTGGTCAACGCCTTCTTCCGTCAGCGCGCGTGCATCGAGAACGTCATGAGGTGAGGCCTTTAACCTTCTGGAACACGTCAAAATGACCCGAAAACCTACAATTATACTTTTATTATTATTATACAATTATATACAATATATAAGTTGTTTTTTTGGTGTTTTTTTTGGCCAGAAAGTTTTTTTTTTAATTCTTTAATGAAATAAAAAAAAAAAAAAAAAAAAAATATATATATATATATACACTGTAAAAAATATTTTCAAGATTTGTTATCACAACATATTTTCTTTTGTCAAATCAACTTTATAATAATTTATTTAGTTGAGATAACTTATTTTTTTGAGTTTCTGATGGTTAAATTAATCTCCTTCATTGTATTAGCTCACTTTTTCCAGTTCAATCAACTTAAAATTTTAAGGCAACCAGGTTACTTACTTTTTTAAGTTAAACCAACAATTTTTTTTACAGTGTAGTAATCACAACATATTTTCTTTTGTCAAATCAACTTTATAATAATCTATTTAGTTGAGATAACTTATTATTTTGAGTTTCTGATGGTTAAATTAATCTACTTCATTGTATTAACTCACTTTTTCCAGTTCAATGAACTTAAAATTTTAAGGCAACCAGGTTACTTACTTTTTTAAGTTAAACCATCAATATTTTTTTACAGTGTATTAAAAATATATATTTTATAAAAAATATATATATTTTAAAAATATATATTTTATAAAAAATATATATTTTATAATATATATATATATATATATATATATATATACACTCACCGGCCACTTTATTAGGTACACCTGTCCAACTGCTCGTTAACACTTAATTTCTAAGCAGCCAATCACATGGCGGCAACTCAGTGCATTTAGGCATGTAGACATGGTCAAGAATCTCCTGCAGTTCAAACCGAGCATCAGTATGGGGAAGAAAGGTGATTTGAGTGACTTTGAACGTGGCATGATTGTTGGTGCCAGAAGGGCTGGTCTGAGTATTTCAGAAACTGCTAATCTACTGGGATTTTCACGCACAACCATCTCTAGGGTTTACAGAGAATGGTCCGAAAAAGAAAAAACATCCAGTGAGCGGCAGTTCTGTGGGCGGAAATGCCTTGTTGATGCCAGAGGTCAGAGGAGAATGGCCAGACTGGTTCGAGCTGATAGAAGGGCAACAGTGACTCAAATAACCACCCGTTACAACCAAGGTGGGCAGAAGAGCATCTCTGAACGCACAGTACGTCGAACTTTGAGGCAGATGGGCTACAGCAGCAGAAGACCACACCGGGTGCCACTCCTTTCAGCTAAGAACAGGAAACTGAGGCTACAATTTGCACAAGCTCATCGAAATTGGACAATAGAAGATTGGAAAAACGTTGCCTGGTCTGATGAGTCTCGATTTCTGCTGCGACATTCGGATGGTAGGGTCAGAATTTGGCGTCTACAACATGAAAGCATGGATCCATCCTGCCTTGTATCAACGGTTCAGGCTGGTGGTGGTGGTGTCATGGTGTGGGGAATATTTTCTTGGCACTCTTTGGGCCCCTTGGTACCAATTGAGCATCGTTGCAACGCCACAGCCTACCTGAGTATTGTTGCTGACCATGTCCATCCCTTTATGACCACAATGTACCCAACTTCTGATGGCTACTTTCAGCAGGATAATGCGCCATGTCATAATGCTGGAATCATCTCAGACTGGTTTCTTGAACATGACAATGAGTTCGCTGTACTCAAATGGCCTCCACAGTCACCAGATCTCAATCCAATAGAGCATCTTTGAGATGTGGTGCAACGGGAGATTCGCATCATGGATGTGCAGCCGACAAATCTGCGGCAACTGTGTGATGCCATCATGTCAATATGGACCAAACTCCCTGAGGAATGCTTCCAGCACCTTGTTGAATCTATGCCACGAAGAATTGAGGCAGTTCTGAAGGCAAAAGGGGGTCCAACCCGTTACTAGCATGGGGTACCTAATAAAGTGGCCGGTGAGTGTATATATATATACAGTATATATTATATATTTTTTTTATTATTATTAAAAAAAAATATTTAAAAAATCCCTCTGATGAACACTCTAATTTTTTTTAATAGTTGAGGGTCAAAATGACCCGAGTGAAGGATGAGTGTGAAATCATTTGCATGTATTGTGTGTGTGTGTGTGTGTGTGTGTGTGTGTGTGTGCAGGGCTTGCCTCGGCCTCCCGCCTCAGAACCACATGCAGCTGGAGCACAAGATGGAGAAGAGCTTCAGGCGTTCTCTTGAACACCCCGTCCAGCGACCCGTCCTCGTCAACGGCAAGATCGACCACAGCAGCGCGTACCAGTCCGCCAAATACATCGAGACCAAACGCCACGAGAAGATGCAGCACTCCGTCTCGTAGAAACACACACCAGACGCTAGCGTTCAGCACTCCTTTAACTTGTGCATTACAGTCCTTTACGAATGCGCATCCCTAACTGATTTATGGATATGCATTTGACTATGAAAATATGAATGGCTTCTGTTTGTTTAGTGTGATCTGTACTTCTGAATCCATGCTTTCTCACCCGTGGAGTGTTTTCCAGGTTTTGTACATTAATGCACTGAGGAAAAACCACTAGTTTCTGTTGGTTAAACTAAATGAAGACAAAACATCATTCCTGAACGTGAATCGAAGTAGAAAATGATGATGAAAGTCATTCGCTTTTATACAAATATAAAAATATAGCACAAAACTGGGAGTGATATTATTCTAATGAATAAAATCACTGACTAAAAATTATTTTCCCAAAAAAGTTATTTATGTAATCAAATGGATTTATGTAAAAAAAAAGAAGTGCTTTAAAGAAAAATAGTTATTCATTTATTAAATAGATTCAAATAAATACAATTACACAAATTTGATTAAATACATAAAAAAATTAACAGTATATTAGGCTACTGTCTAAAAATAGAAATAAGTTTAGATTCATAATAGTTTTTCAGAAATCGGGTGTTTGTAAAAGATGCCTTTTAAATTGTAGAACGGTGACCGATTGGCTACTAATATTCTGATTTGATAGATTTAACAACTATTTTTGTTTAACGGTGACTATTTTATGTCTTCGTCTTACTAACATTTAGATATTTAAACGAATAAAGCGGTAAAAACAAAAATACCTAGCTATGTTTGTGTAAAACACTAGTGTAAGCGATGAGACCTAAATTCTTCTTGGTCCATAAATGACTAAATCAAAAGACATATTCTCATCGCTTGTGTTGTGCCATTCTGTGTGAAAGTGTTTTCACCGTGTGTTTGTTCTGCTGTATACGTGAAATTAGTCTGTTTTCAGCCATGAAAAAAAAAAAAATAGTTTTGCAAAATGTTCTATTGCATACTGTGTAACACTGTAAACAATAAACACTGGTGTATAGAATAGAATGCGCACGTGGTACGATGTGTAAATATTGGTCATAGGCTAATAACCTGTGACGTCAGTTCATTTCTGTAACAGTGTGTCCCTCTAGTGGATGCGAACGGGAAAAAAACAGGTGATTAAAGTAACAAACCCTGATTGGGATATATTGCATGAAACACGTTTAAACGTAAACATAAATGCGTATATTTTATCACTTCATACAGTCAATAGCTGAACATCCTTTTGTGAACAACTGAGCTCAGATCCGTCCTGCCCTGCCCATCATAAACCAGTTCAAAAGTCAAGAAACACGCCACACACACCGAACCAGAAAACATCCAAAGAAGGTAAAAAAAAAAAATGCGTTAATCATTAGACGATTGTCATTAGTCTATTACATCATCCTTGCAATTAGCGTAGTAATTCTGGGAATTAGCCTAAGTGTTGCCTAATGATAAAGAGCGCTTTATTGTTTATTGTTTAAATATTTTACAGATAAATTATTGTTATTACCCAAGTAACAAAAATATGTTTTAAGAACGTTTTGCTATTAAAGTTAGGCCTGAACGTTTAAAACATCCAGTTCATTAAATGCTCAACGTTAAAGAAACATTCCACTGTCTCATTCTTAAAACATTACGACTTTTGAAGGTTCTCTGAATGTTTATTTTGAATGTTCTCAAACTTTCAAAAACCAGAAGTCACATTTGAAAAATGTTAGACGAACATCCAATTAAAATATTTCAGGAATAAAGTATGTAAATAACGTTTTTGTGCTAACATTTTGAGAACATTATTAAAGACCAGATAACATATAATGGATGTTCTATGCAGTTAGCCTATTGACTGGTTTTGTAGTTCTGCACTTTGCACAGGTCCTGGATCTGTATCTGCGCGTGCAGGTCTATGTCTTCTGCGATTGTCCACGTTACTATACACATGTGTTAACTTATTTGTGCAGTTACAAGGTTTAGTTCACGAGTTATTAATCCGGGAAGTTTGAATCTGTGAATCTATTGAATTGCACTTCAGGTCAGTTCCGCTTCTGTAAGTCCTGCCCATCATAAACCAGTCCAACAAGACAAGGACAGTCCACCAGAAGACATGTCCAACGAAGGTAATTCATTTCATTTATTTATATAGCACATTTAATGCAACAGCTGTTCGCTCAGTGCTTCAGTCGAGCCCGAAGGGTCGTGGTGGTGGGAAAAAATCAGGATGGGAGAATTAAAAAACAAACAAACCTGCAAAACCTGTTGTGAGCTCGGACACACACTTCCTGTGTAATGCCCGCTGGCAGTGCTTCAGTTAATGAAGCGTTTCAGTGTTTGAACTTGGACTCAAATATAAAGAAATGCGATCGGCTCTCTGCAGAATAATCTGCCAGTCACAGTTCCCTTGTAGCACAGTCGGTTGCTTAAACGTTTATGATAATAATTATATTCATGATGTTGTACCGGCAAAAGTGCGTATTCAGTGCTGGTCTCGCTCGCGAGTGTTACGAGTCATCAGAACAACTGGTCTCTGTGATAACCAACACTGGGAATAATACAGAGATTCAAGCAGATGCAGCTTGTTTAAGGTCGGGTGAAAAGCAGCAAAAATGTAGGAACGAAGGCTATAAACCCTATAAACTTTATTACTTTCACTTTTGCCACATTGACGCAAGACCCTTGACGCATCATAAATGTGTCGTATTTTTGATAATCCACGCAGATTTTAGTTGACGATTCTGTTTAAAGTTATTAATAACACAAATTGAAGGAATGAAAAAGAGCAGGATGTGCTTTATATAGAAAATAAATATTAAAAGCGCGAAAAGTCGCGAGAGAGAACGGCATTACTGACTGGACGCTGCGCGCGCGCTCCGAGCCGCTTTGTCTCCGGTTGCGCACCGAAACGGACAAATAAATACAGAAATATATCAAAACGCCAAATCGAGTATTCACGTAAACACGGTGGATGTAAGTAACCTACTGTGTTCTCTCTCACTCACTCAGGTATAGGATTAGGTCTGTGTATGTGTGTGATGGGTAGGTTTAGGGTTAGTGTGTGTGTGTGTGTGTGTAAGATACACATAATAATCACAGTAAATAAGGATCCCTGTTTCTCATGCGCAGACGGTGTTCCTGATGTCCAGCTGAGGAAAAGGTCCAACTGTGACTCGAATGAGAGAAAACACCTAAACGAGAAAGCGGCTCAAGCGGAGTGTGAACCCCGTCCGGCGCGGAGCGAACTGCGTCTGGTTCTGCTGGGAGAAACTGGTTCAGGGAAAAGCGCGACGGGAAACTCGATCCTGGGAGGCGAGCGCTTTGATGATGGAGTGAGCTTGAGCTCGGTCACAAAAGCCTGCAGGAGAGAGAGAGCGACGGTGGAGGAGCGAGAGCTGGTTCTCGTCGACACGCCGGATTTCTCCGACACGGATCAAACGCTTCGGGAACTGGAGCGCGGCCTGGGTTTGTGTTCTCCGGGTCCGCACGCGGTTCTGCTGGTGCTGCCGATCGGCCGGTTCACAGAGGAGCAGCAGCGATCCCTAGACATGATCCTGGAGACGTTTCATGAGGACATCACTCATCACACCATCCTCATCTTCTCTCACGCCGATAAACTCAGAGGAGAACCCATTGAAAAGTTTATTTCGAGACAAAATCAGAAAGTGCAGGAGCTCGTGGAGAGATTCGGGAGGCGTTTCGTGGCCTTCGACAACACAAACCCGACCAACCGGGAACAGGTGAGTCGACTCCTGCAGAGCGTTAATGAGATACTCGCTCTTAACGACAACCGTCACTTCACCAATCCCATCACGGAGGATCTCAAGACATTATTAGAAGAGAGAAGACAAGCGGATCTGGCTGAAAGAAAGCGGAGAATCATAAACGACGTCAGAAAACTGGCGAATGTTCGCAGGGCTGCGTTCAGCGCGTCCGTGAGGGAAGAGAGGCGGGACTCGGAGAGGGCGAGGGCGCGCATACGAGGCGGGATTGATCAGATAGAGGAGGAGATCCTGAGAGAAGAGGAGCGACCGATCCCGGCCAGACTGAAGCGCCTCAGGGCGTCTCTGAAGAGAGAGAAGGAAAGACTGAGAAGACTGGAGGAACGAGAGAATGAGGAGGAGAAGGAGAGAACTGAGAGACAGGAGAGAGAAAAGAAAGATCTGAAAATCTGGAGGAAAGAGGAAGAGCAGCGGAGACTGAGTGAAGAAGGGCAGAGCTGGGAACGTCCTGAAGATGACATGAAGAAGATGCTTATTCTGTGTGTGTGTTTACTGGGCTTCGTGGTGGTGGTTGGATTACTCTATTTTATTGGTTATTGTCTTCAACAGCGAACACCAGAAGAGAAGACTAGGCCTACGAGCTCTTGGCGTGAGAATGTAATGAACTTATTCTAAGTGGAGAAACATCCGAAGCAGACCAGGAGAAGTTGAGGCATCTTCCACGCAGAAGTTCTTTATTGCGTCGCTATTCATCTCAAAAATCGTCTGACTAAAATACAGAATACTATTACATTAGGCTATATTATTATTATTACATGATTAACTAAATATATTTTTCCAAGTACATTTCTGAAATGCACTTTCTGTAAAGCTGCTTTGAAACAATAGGCTATATATGTATTGTGAAAAGCGCTATAGCCTATAATAAATCTATCACTCACTCAATCTATCTATCTATCTATCTATCTATCTATCTATCTATCTATCTATCTATCTATCTATCTATCTATCTATCTATCTATCTATCTATCTATCTATCTATCTATCTATCTATCTAGCTAGCTAGCTATCTATCTATCTATCTATCTATCTATCTATCTATCTATCTATCTATCTATCTATCTATCCATCCATCCATCCATCCATCCATCCATCCATCCATCCATCCATCCATCCATATGTCCATCCATCCATCTATCTATCTATCTATCTATCTATCTATCTATCTATCTATCTATCCATCCATCCATCTATCAATCTATCTATCTTATGTCTGACTGACTGGAAATCTTTTTTTCTTTTTTTAGTTATTGCTTGTGTTATTGCAAAAATAAAATTAGAACTTAATAAAATATTCTTTGACTTTATAAAAATGATTAAAAAAAACATTTTTATTTGTGTGCAGAGGGTTACAATAGCTGTAGATTTCCACATTTTCCAGAATCATATGAGAGACAAGAAATATATAGCCTATATATATATACATATATATATATATATATTAGTATGCTTTCAAACGATTTTATGCGATCAAATGATTTTTTGGTTAAGTAAATACTAGTGAAAAACCCAATGTAATTTACTTGAAAAAGTTAGTTCAGGCAAGAATTTAAAAAACTAAGTAAATTCCATATCAGTACTTATTTCAAGCAAGTATAAATGAAAGTGTAATATCAACTCAATAAAATTAAATTATTACTCAACTTTTCTGATACTGGGGTTCCCATCATGCACTGGACCTTGAATAATTAATGAGGTTAATTTTTCACTGGTTTCCAGCTGTATTTACACTGTTTTATCATTGATTTTTGTTTTCAGGATTAGTAAATTGCCATTCTGTGAATTTTTTTGCTTAAAACGACACATTCAAACACAAAAACGATCCATCAAATGTTACCACCATTGTGTATTGTCTACCAATTATTGAGGTGTTTGCATTCACATAAGGCTTAAAGTCTGACATGATATTTATATATAAATTACTTAGATGATCTAAGTAAAGAACATACTATAAATGACTAATAAAATTCAAGATAATTGTTTTAGTGAAGTGTAATACAAAGGCAAAGGAAATCGGTATTAATCAACCTTTTACAAGCCGAGTTAAAATTACTTATTTTTTGTAAAGTTTACTTAATTCCACATTCCAACCAAGTAAATTTAACTTAAAGATTTCTAATTAAAGCTACTGATAAATATGTTTAGGTTTTTACTTGGCAAATCTTTGTAAATTTACTAGCATTTTCTGAGTGAGATCGTTTAGCAAGGTTTTTTCAAGTAAATCCTACTCCAAATTTTTTACAGCACAATATGTTCAATGTCATCAGAACACACAGAATAAGAAGAAAAAGAGACAACAAAGTTCTCGCGCTCTTATATGCTGTAGTGACGCACTTCCGCCAGCGGGTGTCGCTGTGGATCCGCGTCATCACTGAGTCACACGCGCCGAACGAGCGAGGCGGAACCGGAAGAAAACAAGCGCTGGTCCAGTTTCACACTCGAGTCTGTAAATGAGGAAGATGGAAGATTTAATATCAATAAACTGCGTTAAACTTCTGATTACCGCTTTGTTTTACACGTGTGAGTATAAAAACGAGTGTTTAATGTTTGAGTGTGTGTTTGTGCGGTCACGAGATGATGGTTATTGTTCACTCGTTCAGGCCTGAAATCAAAATAAATCCCTTTATAAATATAGCTATGTGTTATTAATATATTCACATTTATTTTACATCATAATAACAGCGAGAGGATGTCAATCTACCGCAGAATTAGCGACTGAACGAGTGTAATCGCTTACACAACACTAACAAAGAAGTTCCAGAAGTATTACCATGGTCAATTAGCCTGGATTTAATACATGTACATGCTAACATGCTAACAACATTACAACTTTATATTCTCTAAAGTATCATGAGGATACCGGAATTCGTGTTCATCCAGGATCCGTGGAAATATGAAAGTACATTGATATTATAACTGAATCACTGATCAAGATTTGACCTCATAAAATGATCATCATTTCATAACCTTTATTATCGTGTGTGTGTGTGTGTTTGGGGAAATACTGGGGTGTGTTTTCTTCTCATATCGATCTAAGCCAGTGATAAACAATTATTTTAAATGAAATTATTATCATGTATGTTTCAGGAGCTCGTGAATGCTGTGCGGGACTTTAGGATTTCAGTTCCTAAAATATAAATGTTGCTAAAATACAAACGATTATAAGATTATATTATATCAGTGATTGTTGATCAGGATGATCTGAATATCTATAGATGATCCACTGGGAGCAGTGTGTGTAGCGCACATTAGTGTATGAGTAGCAGTGTTTGTGTGTGTGTTGTGTCACGTATGTCGTGTGTCTCCTGATTGCCGTGTCGTGTGTGTGTGTGTGTCTCCTGATTGTTGTGTTTGTGTGTGTGTGTGTGTGTGTGTGTCTCCTGATTGCCGTGTCGTGTGTGTGTGTTGTAGGTGTGAGCTGCAGTTCAGTGGAAAAGAAGATCTATGTTGAACTCAACGACACGGTTCCGTGTGTGCGACTCCTGAACGCCACACATCAGATCGGCTGCCAGTGTGAGTGACACACACACACACATACACACACACTCACACACACTCACACACACTCTCACTGTAATGTCGTCTCTCTCAGCGTCGATGTCAGGAGACACAGGAGTTCTGCATGTTCTGGAGAGCGAAGAAGATCTGGACTGGATCCTCAACACTGGACCTCATCCTCCTTACATGATCGTCATGGAGACGGCCTTCTTCAACAGGTGTGTGTGTGTGTGTGTGTGTGTGATGGGGAGGGTTAGTGTAAGGGGAAAGAATATAAAAACATTATGTCTCTGAAGAGTCCCTAAAAACATAGTGTGTGTGTAATCTCGTGTGTGTGTGTGTGTGATCTCGTGTGTGTGTGTGTGTGTGTGATCTTGTGTGTTTGTCCTGCAGGTTGGTCATGTTGAGAATGAAGAACTCGTCCAGAGTGTCTGGAGTCGCTGTGATCGTCTCCAAAACAGGCCTTGCTGACAACTTCTCCCCTCACACACACTGCCCGAACCAGAACACAGGTGTGTGTGTGTGTGTGTGTGTGTGAGTGACTGAGTGAGAGTATCCGTATCTGTGTGTGAGTGTAAGTGTGTGTTTGTATTAGTGTGTGTGTGTTATTGACATTACAAGACGGAAGGGAAATGTTGCATGTAAAAGTCATGTGACGTCAGATTAAAGTAAACATGCATTTAATTACTTGATTATTACATCAGTGTTTATTATAAACTTGTGTGATGATGTGGAGACAGAAGCGGGAGAAATGGTGACCAGCTCCTAAAATACGTGAATCTCCTGTGTGTGTGTGTGTGTGTGTGTGTGTGTGCTCAGGTGTGTATTCTGCGGATTACGGGCCTGAACTCGCCAACTGTAACAACACCGTCTGGAATCCTCTCGGGAACGGACTCTCCTATGAAGACTTCTCTTTCCCTGTGTTCGCTCTGAAAGATGAGAATCAGACTCAGGTCATCCGGAAGGTGTGTGTGTGTGTGTGTGTGTGATGTTTGATCATGTAAAGCTCCAGTTCTCCTCTATATCAGTGACTCCTGAAACGCCTCCATTGTATCTTGAGTTTCTCCCGGAAACGAACACGCCTCAATATTCCTCATTATAATAATTAATGCACAGAATAAAGGGGCGGGGCCTGGTTGAGTTAGTTAGTAGTGTGTTAAACTGGCGGTTATGGAAAGGGGCGGGACATTTCCCAAACACACTCGAAGCGCTCGACCAATCACAACACACCGCTCCAGCCGACCAATCAGAGCACAGTGTGCTTTCAGGAGGAGGGGCTTCATAGAGACAGGAAGTAAACAGAGCGTTACTGACAGACTGGGAAGAGAGGAGCCGCAACAATGGAGAATATGAGGAGAATAATCAACATTCAAGCAGGAAAACATGAAAACAAGAGCAGAATATGCTTCTTTAACGTGTGTGTGTGTGTGTGTGTGTGTGTGTGTGTGTGTGTGTGTAGTGTTACGAGGATCATAACCTGCGTGTGAACGGGAGCGCTCCTCAGTATCCGCTCTGTGCGATGCAGCTGTTCTCACACATGCACGCCGTGACCGACACCGTGACGTGCATGAGGCGCACGGACCTGCAGACCCGCTTCAGCATCAACCCAGGTACACACACACACTCACACACACACACACACACAACACTGCCTTTCCATTAAGATTGTTTGTGTGGCTCCACTGGCAGATATTAGTCCTTGTTTGAAACACAAGCGTGCTGTTGTTGAGTCCGCTGTGATTATGGTCTGTCTGCCTCCTGTCAGAGGTTCTGTGTGACCCCTTGAGTGATTTCAACGTGTGGTGGTCGACCCGACCCCTGAACAACAGCGCCAAGGGTCACAAGGCCGACGAGAGCGTCGTCATCGCAGCCACACGGGTGAGGAAACACACACACACACACACACACTGACGCATCATCATCAGCATCAGGACACTTGTGGCCATTTTCCATAATTTGGCGTTTCCTTCAGGAGACGAGAGTCGTCGACGCAGCGAGGTCAACTCAAGAACAGGCACACGTTTCGCTCACACGACCTTTATCAATGCCATCACCTCCATTTATGAAGTCACATGATCAACCAAGCCAAGACTAATACATGATCCAAACACGGTCTTGCCTTGGTTGATCATGTGATCTATGCAATCATGTGACTTCATAATGTGAGCGAAACGTTTGCCTGTTCTTGAGTTGACGACTCTCGTCTGCTGGAGTGTGTGTGTGTGTGTGAGTGTGTGAGTGAGTGAGTGAGAGTGTGTGTGTGTGGTGTGTGTGAGTGTGTGAGTGTGTGAGTGAGTGAGTGAGAGTGTGTGTGTGTGTGTGTGAGTGTGTGAGTGTGTGAGTGTGTGAGTGTGTGAGTGAGAGTGTGTGTGTGTGTGTGTGAGTGTGTGAGTGTGTGAGTGTGTGAGTGTGTGAGTGTGTGAGTGTTGTGAGTGTGAGTGAGTGAGTGAGTGAGTGAGTGTGTGTGTGAGTGTGTGTGAGTGGTGTGTGTGAGTGTGTGAGTGTGTGAAGTGAGTGAGTGAGTGAGTGAGTGTGTGTGTGAGTGTGTGTGAGTGGTGTGTGAGTGTGTGTGAGTGTGTGAGTGTTGTGAGTGAGTGTGTGAGTGTGTGAGTGTGTGAGTGGTGTGAGTGTGAGTGAGTGAGTGAGTGAGTGAGTGAGTGAGTGTGTGTGTGAGTGTGTGGAGTGTGTGTGAGTGTGTGTGAGTGTGTGAGTGTGTGTGTGAGTGTGTGAGTGAGTGTGTGAGTGTGTGAGTGTGTGAGTGTGTGAGTGTGAGAAGTGAGTGAGTGAGTGAGTGAGTGTGTGTGTGAGTGTGTGTGAGTGTGTTGAGTGTGTGAGTGTGTGAGTGAGTGTGTGAGTGTGTGAGTGTGTGAGTGTGAGTGAGTGAGTGAGTGAGTG